CATAAACCCTAATTTTCTAGAGAGAGAAAATATATTCCTTTTTCCTTCTACTAAAAATCACACCTAAAATATACATAGACCATATATATTTATAGGCAACATAAAGGTAAAGAAAAGGAAACAACTAATCCTTCTCAATCTCTAATTCACATGTCTCAAATCTAATATGATTCCAATATCAAATTGGGCTATGAGTGAGAATCCATTGGGCCTATTATTTTATTGGCTACACTGAATTAATAATTGGCCCGGTCCATGGACCCAATTCAATTAATTCATAAATTAATTTCTACTCCACTAAAAGAAATTAATTGAACTCCAATTAAATAATAAATAACCTCTAAGTCAATATTACACTTTGACCCCTCTATGCATAATTAGTTATCGGATAAATAAAGCCATCAATCCGACTACTTAATTAATATATTTATTTTGGTACCTTTGATTATTTCTGGCTCGATCACAATAAAACATTTGTTTGACAAAAATAATAATTTAAATAAATAAATATATAATAAATCATTTTGTCTAAAAATACACGAAGGCCTTCGAATTTACTTTGTGATCAACCATAATCAATACAAAATAAATACAAGTAGCAATGATGCAAATATTGAAAATATAACCCTCTAACTATTAATTACATAACTACCCAAAGTGTCGGTCTAAGGAACCCGAAGAATCCGCCGAACAAATCAAAGTAATTATTAATTAATAAAAGAGTCTATAATTTTCTCATACTTAAGAGTCAAATGCCATGACGGTGATAGGGAACAATTGCATACGACGGCTCTCGCAATATATCTCAACCTAACGCGGATCTAGTTCAAATCTTAGTTAATTATGAGTCCATCCATAATTACCGACTATGAACCATTTATGATTACTATTTATATATCATGCATTGATTGCCATCACAAACATATATATAAATATCTCTTGTAATCAAATGGACACTATCAATTCTATAATGAATCGAAATATAATACATTGAATTCACCAATTGTATAAAACATAAATATTTCATAAACGTCAGGAACATATGTCACTTTAATCTAAACAAGAATTTGCTATGCCAGGGCATATAAATCCCAACAGTTTCAACTCATACCCATGAAGATTTTCTTCAATGTCTCTGTCTTCATTCTCAAAACTGCTCATCTATATCCAAAGTCATCTACACCCCAAACAATTCTTCATATTCATCTATTTTGTAGAGGTCTATACAAAACTTGCGATTCAATTCATCTGAAACCCCTAAACCTCTGGTCATTGTCACACCAACCAATGAGTCTCACATTCAAACATCCATATATTGTTCCAAAAATCATGACTTGCAGATAAGAATCCGAAGTGAAGGACACGACTTCGAGGGCCTTTCCTATGTTTCTGAAATCCCATTTGTCCTGATTGATCTGATAAACCTTAGATCAATCGATGTGGACACTGAGAGCAACACTGCATGGGTTGAAGCTGGTGCAATTCTTGGCGAACTTTACTATAGAATTGCTGAGAAAAACAAAACACTTGCCTTCCCTGCAGGTATTGCACCTTCTGTGGGTGCTGGTGGACACATCAGTGGTGGAGGGTGGGGCATGATGATGCGTAAACATGCCTTGGCTGCTGACCATGTCATTGATGCTCGTATAATCGATGTTAATGGCAGAATTCTCGACAGAGAATCGATGGGGGATGACCTCTTCTGGGCCATCAGAGGAGGCGGGAGTGCTAGTTTTGGTGTCATTCTTGCATGAAAATTAAATTTGGTTCTTGTTCCATCTACTGTGACCGTTTTCAGTGTCCCCAGGACATTGGAACAAAATGCTACCAAGCTTGTCCATAGGTGGCAATCCATTGCACATAAGTTTGATGAAAACCTAATGGTCATAGTTAACATAACAAGAGTGAACACCACCTATCAAGGCCAAAACAAAACAACAATACAAGCTACATTCGACTCATTTTACCTTGCTGGAGCTGATGAACTCATTCAATTAATGTAAGAAAGCTTCCCTGAGCTGGGATTGGTGAAACAAGACTATATGGAAATGAGTTGGATCGAAGCAGTCCTACACTTTGCTGGTTTCTCAAGTGGAGAGTCCCTTGAAATTCTGTTTGATAGGACTAATCGGTTTAGAGGATACTTCAAAGGAAAATCAGACTATGTGAAGGAGCCAATTTCGGAAAATGGGCTCGAAGGGATTTGGGAAATGTTATTTGAAGAAGAAGCCACGATGGCTCAGCTGTTCATGACCCCATATGATGGAAGAATGGATGAAATATCTGAATCTGCAATTCCTTACCCACATAGAGCTAGGAATTTATACTATTTTCTGCAAACGGTGTTTCGGGATGAAGAGGGGACAGAGGCTTCTGAGAGGTATGTGAGTTGGAGCAGAAGGCTTCATAGTTACATCGCTCCTTATGTTTCCAAGAATCCAAGAGAAGCACAAATCAACTATAGAGATCTTGACATAGGAGTGAATAATAATGAAGGCAACACAAGCTATATACAAGCAAGCATTTAGGGCATTAAGTATTACGTGGGTAACTTCGAGAGATTAGTACATGTGAAGACCATGGTTGATCCTGCTAATTTCTCCAGGAATGAACAGAGCATTCCAGCTTTGTCATCATGGGGAAAAAGAAGAAGTGAGGCTCTCTGTCTCTGTCTCTGTCTCCCTCTCCTTCTCTGTGTGTCTGAAATAAAAGAAGATGGTATGGAGGACGTATGATGGAAAATGAAAGTTCCATAAATTAGAAATCAATGTTAAAATAAATTCTAGGTTTTTATTTTCATGAATCCGATGGTGTATGAAATTTTAGAAAGTTTCATGTATGTCTTGGAATTATGAAAACAAAAAAATTATATGGAGCCGCCCCAACTTTCTCTCCCACCTATCTCTAACTTTCTCTCTCTAACCCCGGCAATGCTTGGGTCCTGCCTTATCAGGACAAGAATTGTCCTCCATGCTGACGTCGCCCAATCAGAATTTGCCACACCTCCATTCTATTAAAAAATATAAAACATGGGTTATACCTATTTAACCGACCCATTTTAGTTTCTCTCTCCTTGTTTCTCTCTCATGCCGTATGTTTCCTTTTCTTAATCACAGATCAATCTCCCATCTCCCAATGTATTGCCCTCACCAGAGACGGAGGCTCACGAATTAGAAAAGTAAATCGGAGATGATGCAATTTGCAGAGTTTGTAGAATAGCATCAGTGAAGCTGTAGAAGAGTAGCAGAAGAGAAACCCTAATCTCAAGGCAACTAATTGTCCCCACAGAACCACGTACTTCACCATGTACTTCATCCATGATGATCTACATCTACTTCTGCAATTCATATGAATTTGATGATGATGATAATTCAATCTCTCTTTCTGAAAACACATCCTCACCCGTCAATTTAATTTTTCTCCTCAATCTCTGCCTGCTACCCAAATCTGTCATCAAAATAATCATATATACTTTATAGTTGCATATAAATTATATGCATATATTTATATATACGTATATGACCCAGAATTAGTCAGAAAAGAAAATCGGTGAGAAAGGACATACTATGGTTAAAAAAAACGTCAGCTTGATGATTTTTATTTTATTTTAATTTTTATTTTTTCGTTTATGCATTATAATGAATTCATGTTCTTTCCTTGAAGGTTAGAAATTTACCCTTGTTTTGATCTGAAAATTTTACCCTTGTTTTGTTTCTCTCACATCATGCTCAGATCTCCATGTTACATTGTCGCCTCCATTCACAAATCCAAACTCTAGGAAGCAACCCATTGATTTCAGACAGTGATCTGGTTTTAGCAAGGATTGATTGGCATTTTTTGAAGCAGGTATGTTCAAACATTATATTTTTCAATGCAAATTATTTTTTCTGCTTTCAAAAAGCTTAAATTAAGTATGGGTATTGTTGAATTTTTGTTCAAAATGAGTTAATTCTTAATCATGTTCAAAAAAAAATTCTGTACTCAGTGACTAATGCAGGAGATGGATTACGTAGGCTTAAGTAGTGAGCCATTGAATAGTTGTAAAGTTGATATGGAAGATAATTGTCCTTCTCCTCCTAATGAGTATTCCTTAAAAAAAGAAATTCAACAAAAAAAAGGATGAACCAGAACTTGGAATGGAGTTTAGTTCAGATGAGGGCGCATACCAGTTCTACCTCAACTATGGTAGTAAACTTGGTTTCGATGTAAGGAGAAATCATCATTGGCAAAATAGAAATGGGATTATTACTAGGATTACCTTTTGTTATTCAAAAGAAGGTAAAAGAAGAGAGAATAGAAGAAAAAATCCTTCCTACCATCAACCCATAACTAGAGTTGGTTGTGAGGCTCAAATGACTTGTCTACTTCAAAATAATGGAAAATTCAAGGCTGTGTCATTGAACAAAAGTCATAATCATTACTTGGTTAGAACCCCCATGAAACATATGTTGAGAGTTAATCGAAGTATTTCTAAGGCTCAAAAAGCACTTGCTGAAGATGCAGACAGGTCGGGATTACCAATAAAATCAACTATGGAGTTGATGAGCAGAGAAGTTGGGGGGAGAGAATCTTGGTTTTCTAGACAAGGATTACTGAAATTACATACATAGAAAGCGAAATATGGCAATGGAAAAAGGAGATGCTGGAGCTATATTAGAGTATTTTCATAATATGTAGTTGAGGGATCCATCATATATTTACTCACTACAACTTGAAGTGGATGATATGATTACTAATATTTTTTGGGTGGATTCACGCTCAGTAAGTGATTATGGACTTTTTGGAGATGTTATATGTTTTGACACTACTTATCGGACAAATGAATATGGTCGACCTTTTGCACCATTTATTGGGGTGAATCATCATAAGCAAACAGTCTTATTTGGTGCAGCTTTACTTTATGATGAACCCATTGCATCATTTAAGTGGTTGTTTGAGACTTTCCTTGGTGCAATGTCTGGAAAACAGCCTAAGACGATTCTCAAGATCAATCTGCTACAATGGCTAAAGCAATATCAGAAGTATTTTCTGAATCTCAACATAGGCTATGTGTTTGGCATATTTATCAAAATGCCGCGACGAATCTGAGCCATGTATTTCATGCATCAAGCCAATTTGCTCATGATTTTGGCAACTGTGTGTATGATTATGAAGATGAAGATGAATGGCTATTGGCATGGGAAAGTATGTTGGATAAATATAGTCTCAAAGAGAATAAATGGTTGAAAGAGTTATTTGAAGTAAGAGAAAAATGGGCAATGGTTTATGGACGACACACTTTCACTGCTGACATGAAAATTACTCAACGTAGTGAGAGCATGAATAGTGTGTTGAAGAATTACTTAAAGCCAAAGCTTAATCTTTTGTGTTTCTTGGAGCATTATGAGAGGGTTTTGAATGATCGGCGATATGAAGAGCTATTTGCAGATTTCAAGATGATGCAAAGCATGCCTGATTTGTTAACTAATGTGGAGACTTTATGTCATGGTGCAAAAATTTATACTCCAAAAATTTTCAAATCATTTCAGGAAGAGTATATGAGGTTGGGTGATTACAATATATACAAATTGGCTAAGGAAGGGCTAAAAGCTGAATACAAAGTATCTTGTGTCGGAAAATCTCGAGAACATGTGGTTAAATTTGATGTTCCAACACAAACAATCACTTATAGTTGTATGAAGTTCACTTTTATTGGAATTTTATGTGTCCATGCATTGAAAGTGTTGGATAAGAAAAATATAAAAAGGATTCCATCTCAATATATCATGAAACGATGGACAAGAGATGCAAGAGCAAGGACTATCACCAACTATCATTGTATTGCAGCCAGTGACAGTCCTACAGTGTCTGTGGGAAAGCGTTACAGCCATTTGGGTCAAAATTTTCGTGAAATTTCATCTTTAGCCTCAGAACACGAGAAATTATACACATATGCAAATGAGCATGCTCTTATGTTGCTTAATGGCTTAGAGAAGATGAAGAAAGAAACTTTCTTAAGAGGTACTGAAAGTTCAGTTTGTCAAAATGAGGAAGGTGAAATGATAGCTCCACGAAATGATTGTGTGCTGATAGGGGTTAAAAGAAAAGCCACAGTTGGACGCCCACGTAGTCGACTATTAAGCGCCCTTGAACGACGAAAAAAAAAAATCGTCTCCCAAAACCACCAAAGTTTCAACAAGACAACAAAATGCCACACAGGTTTGCTTTGAAACTCTGTAAATTAATTGAATGTGTTATTTTTATTATACTTGTTTTCTTTTATTTTCACTACATATTTTAGGAGCCGGTTTCCAGTGCTTATAATTTACAAGAGCAACAAGCTGGAGCTGGACATGGAGTTGCTCAGCAAACATTTGATAATTTGACTCAAGTAATACACTTTTGATTTGTGTAATACCCCTAGCTTTCAAAAGGATAAAAAGGGAATTTAATTTTGTTTTTATAGCATTTTGATTTAATTATGTGACTTATGTGATTTATTTACTTAGTTGATTTAGTGTGAATTTATTTTAAATTAACTGGTTAATTATTATTATATATTTGTTTTATTTAATTGGTTAATTGTAATTATTTGTTGGTTGGTTTTATTTAATTATTTAATTGTGATTATTTGTTGGTTGGTTTTATTTAATTGTTTAATTGTGATTAAATTTACTTCTTTGATTTATTGGTTTTAATTGACGTGTTTTTATCTAGAAGCTTAGGTGGGTTATTTGTTTTAAACATGTGTGCCAGGGTTTTATTTTCATATAGTTTTGGGGCGCCGACATATATTAGGTTTCAATTAACAACTTGTAGATATAAGTTTAAGCCGACTTAGGATGTGGGATGCATATATATATATATATATATATATATATATATATATATATATATTCTTAGACGTCTGCTAGGGTTGTGTAAAAACCTTATTCACGTGATAATGTCTTGAGAGGAAAAAACCAGAGAGTAGTCTGGAAAGGAAAACACAGAAAGAGAATCACAGAGTGTCTTGAGAGTTAAACAGAGGGGTTACTTCTGGATGGAACCAAGAAGCAATAAAGGAAGGGAGCAATGACTAGAGGAGGAAGGGAAGGTCTTAGGATTGCCAGAAATTGCAAACGGATGACGGATGTTGAAAGGTTTCAAACCGAAACCTAAAGGCAAGTTTCATTCTATTCGTTTCCTGTAAACTTGTGTTCTGTGCATTCTTTTTTGTCTCCAGGGATTAATTTAAATTATTAAAACATGGTGGATGATGCATATTATACCAGACAATAATTTGTTTTCGTTTAAAAGATCTGAAGTTGGTTTTTGCATAAAACTGTGTTAAATATGGTTTTAAACTTCGGTAAATTAGTTCGTAAGGGAATTCAAGGAGTTTCTAAGATGGTTTGGACTATAATTTACCACTGAAAACTTTGAAATGGAATGTGGATACATGTTTCAGACTTTAAACTATTCGTATGCTTAGTTAAACTAAAGTTGGTTTTGCTTGCATAAATTATTGTGTATTGTTTTATCTTTTTGTTAATTGGTTCACACTGGAATAGAAGGAGTCTCTAGGGATCTAAGAACTTTAATGGAACACTAAAAATCTTAGAAAGGTCTGGAATAGGACACTGGACTTCACCGGAAGCACAGACAATAACTGCACGAGCAGAGGTGAAGCAGAGGAGGTTGGAGAAGGCTCAAAGGAGGAGAGAGCCGGCTCCAGAAGGTAGGAGCCGGCTCCCCCCTTCATAGAGCCAGATCCAAGGGGTTAGGGAGCCAGCTCTAGGTGGCATAGAGCCTACTCTTTGATTTTAGAGCAGGCTCCCTTGGTTAAGTCACGTTTGGATGCATTTTGGGCGCAGTTTGGGCACTGTTTGGGCCATGTTTGAAATTCTAAATGGTTTCAGGGACTGGAATGAGAATTCTAAAAGTAATTTCAAGGGATTTTAATTCCTTTAATTGTATATTTTGGTCCATAGGGAAAATGGAATAAACAGTGTAAAAATAAGCGACTTTGTACACTGCTAACGGATAAGAAGGACTGGTGCGCTAAGTTTTGTTTTAAAAATTTAACGGACTGTTGCATGGAATCTAAACATGATATTATGCTATATTAGGACCCACAATGCATAATTTATCCTAATATGCTAAGGGTTTTCACAGTGTGGGAGTTTTAAGTAATGACGCACATTATTGGCGATTGTAAAGTATCTAGTTGTGTAAATTTAATTTAGCAACTTAGATGACTGGAGGATGTTTTTGAAATCTATGTTAGATATAGAATAGGGTCATATATCTATTAGACCTTATTTGTGCATAGGTTGGATTTTAATTAAGGAACTAATAAATTAGGTTTCATTAATTAAATGGAGATTGTTATTTTAATGGTTAAACTGTTCTATATGTTTCAGCAACTATTGGTTAGTATTGTGGATTTTCTGAGTTATAGTTTGTCATTCTCAGCTTTTTAATTGACTCTTACTATTGTTAATGTTGTCAACTGCTGGACTGTACTATGGATTAGTTGAAATTTAATTAAATGAATTAAATTGTCAATGACATGGATGGATTTTGGATTTTAACTTGATGGATTGCAAGTTGATGAACTGTTTAAATTCTGTATATCAACTATTTGGATTGCGTGGATATAATTTGATGAACTGCTTAAAATGTTGCGTCATTCAAGGATCATTTGCATTATATGTACTGGTATGGGACGGTGACATATCAGGGATGGATTAGATCAAAAAACTAAGTCCTACCCTTTCATACATAAGGAATGGATTAACTAAAATAGCTAAATCCTACATGGATGCATGTTCTGTCAACTAAAATAGTTGAACGATGTAACGGATATTTGTTTTATCTTTCTGCACTAGAAAGGAATTTATATATATACTTATGGTACCGTGGTATGAGCTTGAGTCTCCTGATCACGGTTAGGGTGCGTATATCGCAAAGGTTGGGTAGCGAGATATAGCTGATGTTCCCTGGTAGGTTTAGGTACTTGGCCACTGGAAAAGCGTGTTTTATATGTCACATTCTACCCAGGCTGAACTATGTTATAGGCTAGTGAGCATCTTATAGTGTGTATATATATATATATGGACTATTTTAGATATTGCCGAGCTATCTAGGATGTATCTGTGTATCAGGTTTATGTACAGATTGTAGTAGGATGGAACTTACATGTGGGCCTGACCCACTCTTATTTTTCAGGTGTTCGTTAGTACCAGGCTTAGGGCTTGATCGTGTGGATGTAGATACAGACATTCACTCTTCCGATTACATAGGATTTCCTTTCTTATTTTAGTTTTGAATTTTGGTTTTGTATTTATTGTTCATTTGGAATTATTAGAGGTCCACTAGATGAATTCCCGAGTTGTACGGATTTAAAGGATTTAAATGATATTAACTTATTATTTAAAGTTTGAGGATTTTTTATTTTAGAATTCTTTCAGTGTATTACTAATTTATTCTTATTTCAGTTTGTATTCCTGCTTGTTTACATATTGATTGTCTAATATCCCTCAGATCTGTGCTCGGACTTGATCACCCATGGCTCTAGAATCGAGGGGTATCACAATTTGTCTTTCTATGTTTCTCTCTACATTCGATAAATTTTGGTTTCTAGCCACACCTTTTCCTACAACATGATTTCTCTCTTAAAATTAGTGTTCATAGAACTTGTAAATTAATTAAATGTGTTATTTTTATTGTACTTATTTTCTTTTATTTTCACTACATATTTTAGGAGCCAGTTTCCAGTGCTTATAATTTACAAGAGCAATAAGCTGGAACTGGATATGGAGTTGTTCAGCAAACATTTGATAATTTGACTCAAGTAATAGACTTTTGATTTGTCTTTCTATGTTTCTCTCTACATTTGATAAATTTTGATTTTTACCCATACATTTTCTTACAATATGATTTCTCTTTGAAAATCTGTCTTCACAGAACTTGTAAATTAATTAAATGTGTTATTTTTATTGTACTTGTTTTCTTTTATTTTCACTGCATATTTTCGGCGCTGGTTTCCAGTGCTTATAATTTACAAGAGCAATGAGCTAGAGCTGGACATGGAGTTGTTTAGCAAACATTTGATAATTTGACTCCAGTAATACACTTTTGATTTGTCTTTCTATGTTTTTCTCTACATTTGATAAATTTTGGTTTCTAGCCATATTTTTTCCTACAGCATGATTTCTCTTTTAAAATCTGTGTTCATAGAACTTATATCATATTGGCCATGGAATGCCTTCAGGAATGCAGTCAGTGATGAACTCCAATGAAAATTGGCTATCCAATATGACTTGCACACAATTACTTCAGGTAAATATGTAATGACCCGAATTTTTCGGATAAATTTTTTTCGTTGTCTTTTCCCTTCTGAGTTTGGGTTCTTGTCGATTAGTGTCATCTCGAGTGCTCTGGAGTGATTTCTGAGACTCTTTTCTGTGGATTGACAACTTCCTTTGAGGACCGAGTCATTCCCAAATTTTTCATTTTTTGACACTATTTATTTTTTGTCTTTTTCCCTATTCCGTCTTTTCCTCATGTGTCACTTTGTTTGCGTAACCACACTTCTTGTGTTCGGAGTTGGTTTCTGACTTCACGTATCTTCATTCCCAATGATTTCTATGAGATACGTATCTTTACTTTCGTGAGAAAGTACTCTGGTTGCTCCCGGTGTCCAAATGGGCAAAAATGCATAGTTCTTTGGAAACCTTTTCTTTTCTTGGGGTGTTTTTCATAAATATCTTTTGAAGATATTTTATTTCAGGGGTATCTAAGAAAATATCTTTTGGAAGATATTTTTATTCTGTGGCAGTTTTGCAGTTTTCACTTTTTGGAGGGGTTATTGTGCAATTAATGAAAGTTATTGCTTAATAACTTGTTTTGAGCCTGAATCCTCGTATTAGATTCATTTTCGCATTTTGTCGAATCGTGGACTCTTAGAATTTCCTCCTAGACGATGTTTTCCAGTTTCAGGGTTTCTGGCCTCGGTTTGCGCCAAACTTGTTTTGGGCATAACTCTCTACTCGGGACTCGGTTTTTAACGCTGTTTCTTCTGTTGTTCATATTTTCTCATTTTTAATCTTTTTTGTTCATGGAGTTTTGTCATTTGAGCGCGTCTGTGCGAATTCCAATTTTCCGGACCCGGCGGGGCCCGTTCGAGGCACTTTTTAAGTTTTTCTATAAATAGGAGGTCTTAGAAAGAAAAATCAGATTTTTCTCTCTCTCTCCTCTCTCATGGCCGGTCCAAGCTCCATCCATGGCTTCCATCTTCTCTCTCCTCTTTTGGACTTCTTCCCTTCATTAAAAAGTGGTGATGCCTTTGTGTTTATTGTTCCCCTCGGCGAGGCCTTCGATTTCAACCAATTGGAATCTTGTTTTGGCCGTTTCTTGAGTTCGGCTTTGAAGTCAAGTTGTGTTTTTGATGGGGCTTCCTTGGGATTGATGTTTGTGGTGTTGTCCCCGACAAAACCTAGGAGTTTCGTCGGATTCGGAGCCGATTTATTTTGGTGGGGATTTGAGATTTTATCTCAAATGGAGGTAGGGGGTGTCTTAGGATTATATTTGTGTTGTATTGATGATTATATGAGCTTATACAACTTGTATGCATGCTTTAGTTCAAGATCTAGAAATTAATTTAATTAATTTCTTTGTTTAAGGTTTAATTTCCATGATGATATGTAAATTGAAATTAGATTGTGACATGCTAGAAAATTTGGCTTTGGTATGGTTGCTGACATATATTAAATTTGGATCATTTGGTTAAGAATTACAAATTTTATTTAACATTTATCTTTGGTGAAAGTTTAATTCACATGGTCATAACAAGCATGAAATCAAGTTGTAATGTGATATTTAGATAGGCCTTGGCATGTTCTCTAACATATCTTAAATTGAAAGCATTTGGAATTGTTTAGAAATCTAGAGGAAATTAATTAATTAGCTTAATTAATTTTGTTTTAAGTGTTTTAATCACTTAATTAGTCGTTTGGAGTTATATATGTGATGACCATGACATGTTCTTCAACATATATTAATTTGGGGTTATTTGGAATTAATTTAGAGTCTATAGAATTTGATTATCTTTGCTTAATTAAATTCTATATTTTTGCTCCATGGATTTTATTACGTTTTGGAAGTTGTTTCTATGTTTAAATCATGGACTTGAACTTGTTGTATGTTCACTTGGTTATATTTTGAGCATTGGATAACATAGTTGTTATATTAATATTCATGAGAATGTGTTTTCCTTAATGAATATGTTGTTGCCTTATGTAAGAAATTACACTCTTTGTATTGGACATTTTTCATGCCACAGTAGTTGTGGACTTTGTGCATGTATTGTATATGTTTCCAAATTTGGTTGTACTTGGTAGATAGTTGATATCTTGTATATAGATGTTGATATATACGTTGTTGCACAACTTGTTGATTTTGGAAACTTGGGGATGTCGTTATTTGGCTACGGCTAGGACTTGGTTCTAGTACGGGGGATTATCCCTCTATATAGTCTAGTACGCACATAGGGAGGTTACCCGTGGGCTAGTAACCCTAAAGTAACTATGGTGTCGGTCTGATCCAGCGTGACGTCCAATTATCCACTTTGGTTGATTTCGCAGTTCATTTCAAGTTGATAACTATATGATGTTATAACTTATTGTTTCTTATTTGATTCTCCATATTTTGTTGTAGGATGTTAACTTTGTGAAATCATGCTTTATGCGTTGTATTGGAAGTTCCAATGTTGGTTAAAGTGAATTGATATCATGATTCGTGTTTTGATGTTCAAATATGGCTTAGGAATGATCCTATAATTTCATTTGGAACATAGACGTTAGGTGGCATGACCCATTTTGGTAATTCTTGTGTTTTAGATTTCGAGTTCATAACTTTGAAAATCTATGTCTTGTTACTTTGTATAACATGCTTCCATGTTGCTTGAATTGCATGAATGATGTGTTTCATGCTAGAAATGATCTTAGGTAGCTTAGGATGCTCCCCGAGTCACACATTGTTGTAGACATTAGGTGGCATGAGTCCTTTAACATGTTTCACCATAAGGTGATAATTTGTAAAACGCTAGGTCGATGCATGCTCACTTCCTACGAGTAGCTTTATGTTACTCACCCACGTAGTGGGGACATTTTTCAGGTATAAAGACTTGGTTCATGGTGCTCATTGCTCCTTGGATGGCTTATAGTTTTTAAGTTTCCATTTTATGCAAGTGTAAGCGTAGCCTTATGTATCAAAATATGTATTATTTGATTCCATATATGTAGTGTGTACATAAGTACACTCTTTACAATGTATTTAACATGTATATGATGAGGCCGAAGGCCAATGACATGTATCTTGTTTTCTATGCACTTTAGTTTTCGAGGTTTGTTATGGAAATGTTGAAAAATGCTATGATATTTCTTCATTGCTTTTGCATAGGGTGTGGGAATTCCATTTT